GATATTTTGTTTCTATTGGTAAGTGTTTATAAGCATTCATTGATTCTTAACTGGACCCAACTCCTACTTCACAGCCACCTAGTTTGAATTCAGGTAATAAATTGTATTAGTGAAGTGGGAGTCAAGCCTTTGTTTTCTTATTGCTGGGTCACTGAATCTATTTTGTTGCTGTATTATAATGGAATCAGATGGGCAAGCAAAGTTTTCATCAAACGTCCAAACTCAGGCTCCAATTTAATCACCCCAGCCTGTGGCAGCTGCTTCTACTGGTATTGCTTCTACCGGGACAGTTGCACCGAGGCAGTTTCAATGGTACCATGCGGTTTTAGCTGCAGGGTTATTGGCAGCTTCAGGCTGTGGCACAGTTTTATTATTCAAGGTATTGATATCATCTACTGTTTCATTAACCAGAACAAAATGCATGTTCTATCAATTCTTATTTGGTAAGATGTGTCATATTTTAATGCCCAATACTGTTTCCATCTCATTGAGCTGCTTTTATCCTGCTTCAAGTGTATTTTCATAAACTAGATTTTTCTCACGTTCAGATAACATTTTTTAGGAAGTTATTATCCCAAAGTTGAAATTGTGGATACGTAAGTTGTGCTGGAAGAAGAAAAGGACCATACCAAGAGAATTGATGCAAAACCAAGTTTGGCAGAGGAGGCAGCAGCTGCAGCAAAAGCAGCTGCGGCTGCTGCAGCTTTGCTGCAGCTGACATTGCAAAAGCGAGTCAGGAAACGTTGAACTCCAAAAATGAAGGTGAATTTGAAAATTTTATTTTTTTGTTGAATAGTTTCATTATGTTTCATTAGTCTTTTTGTTCTTGCACAAGTATCTTCTTGATTTACTGAAACTAATTTGATACTTGCCAGAGCAAAGGCGCTTTGAGGAATTTATGAATCTTATGTATGCCAAGTCGATGAGTAATTCAATAAGAAAATTGGAAGGTACTCTTATACAATTTTTAGTGTAGCCATGTCTTCTGAAATATTCGTTAGAATTTGATTCTTGAACGTTTCCTGTTGTGGCCATGCTTATATCTGAAGTGTTGCATGTTAGACAATTCATTCGTAGCAATAAATAAATGAATGATAAATTTGATAATTAAGGGAAGCCATTTTTTATTCAGGGTCTATGAACTTAGTTAATAAACATTGTGTTAGATATTAATTTAGCTGTAGATATTTATACTTTTACTATATGACCTTCTTAATATTGGGTGCACTTTATAGAGATGTAAGGAACTCAAAAGAATAGCAAAGGTCTCTTAGGAAGTTAAGCTTTGGAAGAAGAGTTCTTTCCTTAAATAGCTTGATATTATTATTTGCTAAAGGATTTCCCCCGGCAAGTAACCTAGCTCGATTCCTCAGCAAGCTATCTTCATGTATTAATGGTGCTAAGAACCAACATAGTGATGCTTATTAAACGAATTCAATTTGCATTGGCAACATCCAATGTCATTTAGTTTCATCGGTACTGCTTGCTTACCACTTGCCAAGGGCATCTTCTGAAATTATTGTCTTATGCTGCCACAAATAGTTTAGTTTCTTCAGAAGACAACCCAACTGTGACTGCTGAGTTGTTGAACTTCATTGCTAATTTTATTATTTCTTATACTATTAGGACAAGCTAATAGCTCTGGCAGGGCATTTTCTGATCATGATGATCATAGATCGGGTCCAAAGGTATGCTGAAACCAAGTTAATTCCAAACGCTTCATATCTGTTTTTACAAATAAATTCTCTGATCCCAGTTTGAGTTCTGCAAGATGAGCTATTACTAAACAAAAATGTCTTTATAGCAATCCTATGTGAATGGAAAGGTGGATGTCAATGTGCAGCCAGGTGATTGTTTTCTGATTATTTTTCTGAACTTGGTTGTCTAGTCGGTCCTAACAATTTGAATTCCAGAATCCTATAACAATGATTTCTTTCAAGCAGGGAGATCCTCCATACCACCTGCATCTCCTATAACATATGGAGGTAGTAATTTGCTTTGTCCTTACGAGTTGCAATATTTAACAGTTGCAAAACAAATATAATATTTCTTGATAGGTTTTGAAGATATTTTGCTAATTGATATTTGTAATTATGTTGCAGATTATGGAAATGATCCAAAGAGGGGAGAAACCTTCAAATATTAGAGTAATCCAGTTAACATTTCTATGCTGATATTTGTTTGTTTATTGCATCAACATTAACTTTGTACTTCTGATTCATATTCAGGAAGTCAATGATATGCCTCCTAACCCTAACCAGCAATTGTCAAATCCTCGCATAGCACCAAGATCTAAGGTCTGTTCTACAGTTTCTCTTTTACCTTTTATGATCATTTCTCTTGCATTTTATTAGTATTCCACTTCAATGGGGTTAATTAAACATCTTTGAGAAATGGGGTATTTTAATTATCACGTTTGAAGAGTTTTTGGGGCCATAATCAATATATATACCAAAATGTTTACTGATATTTTCCTTTGAGCAAAACGGGTAGTCCCATACATTAGTTTCTTCATCCCGTGGTGTGGGTGGTCGGTAGTGGATCAATCTAAGGAAAACTTGCATACAATCATGACCACAATATTTTCAGGATGTTTTTTTTTGTGCCAAGAAGTACGTCTTGTAAAGAGTAATGTCAATGTGGCTCCAATTTGCTCAAATCTGACACCCTCCCCTTCTCTGATTGAGTAGCCCTGGGAGACCCAAAATGGCTCCCGCCATGTACTCCAGTCCCAGACAAGTGCTGAAGGCTTGAATCAGAATCGACAAGGCAATGGGTTGTTAAACTATCCGGTGGATGATGAGAGCTCAACCCCTTGGTGGCAACGGAAAAATGGCAGGATCACAGAGATTGAAAAAGAAGATGAAGCCAAGGCTGCTGGACCTTATGGTGTGAGAACCAATGAACAACCAACCGTTCAATATTCATGGGTTCCTCCACAACCACCCCCTTTGGCAATGGCGGAAGCAGCTGAAGCTATTCGACTGCCCAAATCAGCTCCCAAAGAAACCACTACACAAGAACAATTGGCTGTTGATCAATCAGCAGCTCCTCCTCCCTCAGAGGTAACTGATGAGTTACAGATGATCACAAAAATGTCTGGGTCAGCAGGTGTAGTGGAGATGAATGAAGGTTTTTTGACCGGGAACTCCACTATTATACAAGAACAGGAAAACTGCTATGAAAGGAACTGAAGCTGGGCTCACTTTCGAGTGCAAGCGTGATAAAGAAGTTTACCAAAACAATTGAATCAAAACTATTGTTGCGGTATATGTTGACCTTTCTCAGCATGACTAGTTCTTTATCATACACCAATAATAATAATAATAATAATAATAATAATAATAATAATAATAATAATAATAATAATAATAATAATGCATTGCCAGTGCTTTTACGTGGAAGTATGGTCTGGTCTTAGAGCTCTGTGTTAACAGGCTTTTGTGTGAGGTCGTTCTCGAGTCTATTTTTCTGATGAATAAACATTCACGTTAGTGCATGAGTATCTGACCTGCCCCTAATTGCAGCTAACTTTTCGTTATAAAAATTAATAAGAGGAATCCGCCTACTTTATAAGTTAAGTAATCTATACTAAAAGAAATAGTAAATCAAGTGCATGTGTTTATTGAAAACTGGATTAGGATTAGTTTTTCGGTATTTGTGAAGTTAGATGGATTTTTTTCTTTGAGGCTGTAGAGAGTTGGCTAGCACCAAACAGCCAATACCTCTTAAATAAAACAAGAGGCGGATCTAACTGTTAAAAATACTAACAGTGTTTAGGATGATTATTTCGTTTCTTTAGAATGGCAGACGCAAGCTGTGTATGCTCAATGTCAAAGCAAAGCTAACATTTAAAGCCTAAACTAATGGCAAGGTTGACAGCAAGACCTAATTATTAGCAAACAGCCTTGGCAATGTGTGGCATGAAGAAAGAGAGTAATCGTTGCCTAAAGGAAGAGGAAGCTTGAAGGGAAAAAGTAGTTTCATTGATACAAAATAAATGACATAATATTTGAAAAATAGAAAGGAAATAGTTCACTGCTATAGTCCTAGACTTGCACAGTGACAGCTCGTGAATTCATTTCCAGCCAACTAGGGAGAAAAAAAAAAGGTGCTATTAAGAAACCAAACCAATCTTCAACATAGTAAATGCGTATTATCAAGAGAATGCTTGCCAACTTTGTGAAGCAGGTCAAAAAAAAATCATTCATTGTACCTTTGTTTCGCTATGTAATATATAATGAACAAATGAAATTACACGTAACGTCGACATGTGTTTCTCGATGACCTAACCAAGGAGAGGATTTCTATGAATATGAAAACGGAAGAAAGTGGCATGGTAAAAGTTGAGCTCCTTCCTTGTTCCTTCATCGTGACATTTTTTAGACAACGAAAGTAATCAAGCAATCACCAGATGTTGCAACCTGCTTTTGGATTGCAATTTACAAAAATAATGCAAAATCAAAATAGCCGAGGATGAAAACCCTAAGTTTTTCTAACAAACTTCTAGAAGAAATTTAACCCCCAAACCTCTAGAATCCTATTTAACAAACCTTTGGTCTAGTTTTCCCATCTGATCCAATTCATGGGTTTAGAAGGTCAAATTTTGATTTAAAAAATGCTCTTCTTTTTTTTGAGATGAAATTAGATCGTTATTTATTTGAGGCCGGCCCTCCACCATGTTGCACCCCGAGTTTGGATTATTGTCGTTTTACATCTAACATGATATTTGCATGTGAATTTCCCCTTTCTATCGTTGTTGGTGTATTAATACAACATGTTAGATTGATTTTAAGAGATGGTTACTTTTGACTTATTGAACATTTAGTATTTATATATTAATGTCGGATGGAGTTCGAGATCGAGAAAAACTTGTCCTTGGCCTAAAACATGAAAATGAAGTATTCTGAAAATAAGTGCAAAATTTGGAGTCTACATATATTTACTTATCAACTAAAAACAACAGAATACACTGATGGAAGTTAAACAGAAAAAGAAACTCCAGGTTTTCACCATCATCTATCTGCTGCCTCGTGCCCCGTTCAGCGGTTGCTCACTTGTGCTCTGCATTGCTGCCAATTCAGAGACCGATACGATTTTACCATTTCACAAACACTTTATTTTTATTTGCTATGACTTTTTAATACATCAATAGATAAGTCAAATGCGTTAGGGCACAGCATGTGGTATGTGTGGCTACCTACTCATTCATCCTAAGACCCAACATCAAGTGATGTAAGACTTATTCGGTTCCTCCTATTTTTCTTTTTCCTCAACCAAAACATATTCATTACTCTAAATATCTCTAGGGAATAGAAGAGAGGCTTTCATCTAACTACCCTACACCGCGTATGCATTCACATTTAGTAACAAGGCTTGTATTTTGATTATACGAGTGCGTACCTTGGTCCTAGATGAATTGATGACCGCAATCAACAACTTGTCTCCAGCTAATTGTCTTATTACTTGTATGAGTTCACGCCTTGATATTTTCTTATCCTGCCCAAGCCAAAATTTCAACCAAGCATAAGATCCTAATTTGCAAAAATTGGAAACATGAAAATAATAATAAAAAAAAAGTACACACGCTTACCCTGTGATCCCTATAATACTTGGAGATCAAGTTCATGGCAGTTGGAGGTAAGAACGTGGTAAGTGCAGATATCAGAGCTGGAAATGATATCCATGGTGAAGTCGGCATCTTCAACCTATCTTGCATCCCAAGCAACCCTAAAAGTAACCAAGCCCAAAGTCAAAACCCAATACCCACAACCGGCTTTCAAACCTAAATCGTTTTTGGAATTTGTTAATTACCTTTCAAAGACGAGGGAGCTCTGAAACTCAGAATGTACTCCGGCAAAATATGAGTATTCAAATGCGTACTCCACACTATATATTTATTGGGTGTGGACAAGTCATCGACGCCGGAATCAAACTCATCTGAACTCGGATGGCACTGCGTAGAACCAGGCTGCACCAGTTCCGTCTTCCCCAATATTACGCGGCAGAGCATCAAATACCGCATCCCATTACTATCAACGATGGTATTCTTCACACTGAAGCAAAAACAAACAATCGAATTTTTACAGGCGGTCAAACACCGAACATATTTCTATAATTAATAAGTGATAGATGGAATTCTCATGGTGTTGTGCATTCTACCTCTCCGTGGGAGAACAATCGGGGGAAAGGTAGATGCCATGACCATACAAGCCGCTGTTTTTGGGCAATCCGCTATAGCAAAAGCCATGCTCAACGATCCTAGAAATCTCGTCCCTAGTGGCAGCGCACCAAGCGTACTTAACATTGGCATCGCCGCCGCATTTTTTCTCCATTGCCTTGGTGAAAATCTGGAAAGATTGCAGCCTTGCCTGCCAAGTAAGGCCAGAGAAACAATTTTTCTGGATGGTCAAGTCCTTGGTATGAGCCGCCAGAGGACCCAAATTGGAGAGAAACCTTTTTTCGATAACATCAAACGCTCTGTCCCCACGGGATAACCGAATCAACCCATTGTTTTCCAGGAAAGGCTGATCAAAAGAGGGACCAGAGATGCTGCTTTGGCGGTCGGAAACAACCGATTCCTCATCGTTTGCAGACGTCGAATTATCGGAGTCTTGTGTTTGGAACGAAAAATGGTTGTATTGATTTTCAACATAAGCCATAATAGCAAGAAGTAAAACAATATACAATTAAAAAAAACAAATTTCAATTCAGAATTCAGTCCAATAAAGAAAACAGAGCGTATGGACAAGAAGAATCTAAAAACGATTCATTTCATAAGAGGAGTTGGTATAGATATAAGAAACAAACAGATAAAGAGTGGAAAGAGAAGGCGTGTAAAGGGTTTAGCTTGGAGAAGAGAGAAAGATAAGAGGAGGCGTAGTATAAATAGAACCGACTTTTAGAAGCAGTGGGAATGAAATAAAAATAGCGGTGGGCGGGGAAGAGGGGCGCTACTTGTTTTTCCTTTTATAACTACCTTTTTGTTTTGGGTAATAAAAGAGGTGGTATTCTTATTATATAATATGTATGTCCATGGGTTTTGCCTTCGGGCTTGGACCACCCTATTCAGGTATTGGATTTGGCAAATGGGAATGCAATAATACTATGCCCTCTGCTATTATATTTTTTTTACGACCGTATAGTTTTCTTACATATGAAACACAAATCTCATTACATATTTGCAATTCATTCAGCTAACTTGAATTGTTTTTTATTAATTCAAACTAATTTGTTATTGATATAATGTTTTAGACTTCCTAATTTAATTTGTTTTAAAAATTATTTTAGGTAAACTTGAGAAACCCTAAAGTTTGCATAAGAAAGGAGCTGCATGAAACAATCTTTAATGGAATGGAGCATTTAGAGTGACCGGATAAATATTTTTCACTGCGCTGGAAGGGAGAGAAAATGTATATTTAATATCACGTGGCCATTGGCTTTTGGTAGCACACGGTATTGCCGATATTTTTTAGGGGTTAGATTAGAAATGCAATATTTTTACAACTAATATGATAGACGATTCTAGGCAACAGGATAATGAAACTTGATAGGAGTCTGTTATTCACGTTGAAGCAAACCGACCATTCTCGTAAAATATTTAAGCCTGTTTCTAGTCTGCAAGGGGGTAGTGTATTGATTTATTTGCTTCAATGAAGGAATCATGTTCGGTTCTAATCCTTACGTACCTATAATACAAACCAGTCATTCCATGACATCGTCCTACTAGCACCCATGATATGAAGCAAGGGATTAAGGAAATAAATACCATGTGCTGCCGTACTAATACTAAAGAGTAGATAAAGACAACAACCTATTTCAAAGTAAACTATTGAAACATTAATGTAATTGATGTAGAGAAATAAACATACCACGATATAGATAAAATAGTAAAATGAAAAAGTTAAACGGGCCCAATAATGAAAATGGAAAGGAATAGTTAGATTTATTTGTAAAGGTATACCCATTTCTTGAAGATGGAAACAAATATTTTGGTTTGGTTTTGGAACTTGAGGTCCAAAGGTGCACTGACCATAAGAGGGCCCAATTCCACAATGCAGCGGGAAGAAACTGATACCGTAGTCAGCATCAAGAGGCTGGTTTATGTGAGCTTATTTGATATCCACTTCATATGTCAAAGCATAGATGACACCACTCAAGAGTCTCATTTCAATGCTACTTGTGCAAAAGAAAGAAAGTATGATTTTACGTAAACTTAAACTTACAAAATTTCAAAGTGTGAAAACAGATTTTTAATAGAAAATACATAGAAAAAATCTAAAATATATGATAATTATCTGAATTGGAATCATATATTTTTTCTTTTTAGTGTGAAGGCTGTTTGGATGGAAATATTGCAGTCGGCAGTCATTCCATTGAAAGGCAAAGCATTCTTGAGGGAAGGAGCAAAATGCATGGTAGGCACCAGTTGGTGATGTGACAACTTCTGAACAGGAAATGCTCTTCATGCAGGATGGCACATATAAATATAAACACGTGTAATTTAAAAATGTTAAGCATTTAACTTATGGTTCAGACGACGAAGGACGCATCTTAAATGTATTTGTAAATTCTTTATTTTTCATTGACGAACTTCTTTTGGTAGGAGGAGGATGACGCGAAATGAAAAATTAGCTATAGGAAGTAGGAGTAATCCTCCGAATCCAATTTTTTTTTTGAATAATTATGATTTATTACCCAACTCAAGGTTTAATTACAACCAATCTACAACGAAAGAATCAAATAAACAACCTACAAAATGATTGGTTAGATTATACCCCAAACCTTACAAAGCCTTAAGTTCGTACTATCAAGTCTATTAATATTAGTTCTCCTGAGGCGGATTCCGACAACGTCTTTAACATCTTTGAGCAAGCATTCGATCGTTCTACGCCGTCCTTGAAATATTCTCTGATTTCTTTCCTGCCACAAAGAGTAGATAAAAGCAGTCCAAGAGAGTTTAAGAATGGTAGTAAGAAGAGACCTCCCTTTCCATGATGAACATGCCTTCGAAACCATATCTTCCCATGATAAATAAGTAGTCTTCATCCCATTAAGGTTCAGAATTGAGTTCCAGAGATTTGTTGCTAGTGAATAGTGCGAAAAGAGATGGTCCCTTGTCTCGTTTGAGTTGCTGCAATTAACACAAATACCGTCAGTACTAATTCCCATTCGAAGAAGCCTGTCTCTAGTTGGCAATTTGTTCAGTAAAGCCATCCAAGCTATCAAACTAAACTTTGGAATATGCAATGGGAACCAAATTATTTTATGCCATGAAATATTTTGCCCTTTAGATCGAATCAAGTCCCAAATTTCCTTTACTTGCGGAGAACCGACTGAAAGAATTGGAAGAGCTTCAGCCCTTGATTTTAATGTTCTGTCGATACTCCAACTTACATTTGCAGCAGCTCGGAATTGCCAAAAGTCATGCTCCTTAAAAACGTATGCCTTTAACCATGCAACCCACAGTGATCCATCTCCCACTAATATTTTCCGAATTAGACTAATGAGACAAGCTCTATTCCAAGATTTAATGTTCTTCAGTCCGAGGCAACCTTCCGATTTGGATAGACAAATAATTTCCCAGCTCACACGAGCACCATCAACATATTTATCTGCTCCTTTCCAGAAGTACCTTGAGCAAAGTTGTTCCACTTTTTTAAGGATTGAAGCTGGCAAAACAAGTTGTCTACACCAGTAGTTGTTGACGTTGAATAAGACTGATCTAATGAGCTCTAATATGCCTGCATAACTGAGATTTCTCCCAGTCCAATGATGAAGCTCGAGCTTGATGTTATCAATTAAAGCTTGACAATCCTTTTCGGTAAGCTTACGGGTGACAAGAGGAATACCAAGATAACGGACAGGAAGAATTCCAATATGAAACCCAGTAATCAGTTTTAATTCCTCAATAGTTCTTAATGTAATCCCCGCAGCAAAAATCTCACATTTGGAAGGATTCAGTTTAAGCCCAGATATTTCATAGAAATGATCAAGAATAGTGAGTACGCCAACAACAAATTCAATGTTACCCTTGCAAAAGATCATTAGATCATCAGCAAACGATAGATGAGTTAGGCCAATTTTCCTGTATTTAGGATGGAAACCAAACATTCCTCTTTCGGCAGATAAATTAAGCATCCGAGATAAAATATTCATTGCTAGAACAAAAAGATAAGGGGATAGAGGGTCTCCCTGCCTTAAACCTCTTGCACCTTTAAAGTAACCAATTAAGGTCCCATTAAAAGAAATGGAGAACCTAGCTCCTGTGAAACAAGCTTCGATCCAAGCAATGAAAGCCTGAGGAAGTTGGAGAGCTTTAAGAATTTGTGAGATGAATCCCCAATTAATGGAGTCAAAAGCTTTTTGAATATCGATTTTCAAAGCGCATCTTGGGGAGATAGAGTTTCTGCCATAACCTTTAACCAACTCTTGAGCAAGAAGGGTATTATCAATAATGCTCCTTCCTTTGATGAATGCCGTTTGATTGAAAGTGATAATCTCAGGGAGGAAATCAACCAATCTTCTAACAATGATTTTAGTAATGATCTTGTAGATTACAGAACAACAGGAGATCGGCCGAAAGTCTTTTACAACACTCGGATTTGGTTTTTTAGGAACAAGAGCAATAATAGTTGAATTAAATGCAGGATGAATTGAAGCATTAAGAAAGAAAAATTTGACTGCAGCAACAACATCCTCACCCACTATATTCCATGATTTCTTGAAGAAATAGGGAGTGAATCCGTCGAGACCCGGAGCTTTATCATTGTCTTGACAAAAAACAGTTTTTTGAATTTCTTCTCTAGTAATTTCTTTAACAAGGCTTGCTGAAGCTTCAGAAGGCAGCGAGTAATTGAGTAATTCTTTAAGAAGGTTAGGATCAATTCCTTTTACCATGTTATCAGCTGTTCCGATCAGATTAGAAAAGAAAGAGATAATTTCTTTCGACATTGCTTCAAAGGACTCCAATCGATTGCCTTGTTTGTCTATAAGAACACGGATAGTATCTCTCTTGTTTTTAAAAGCAATCGATGAATAGAAGAATTTGGAGTTTTTATCTCCTTCTTTAATCCATTGCACTTTTGCCTTTTGCTTGAGAAACGAAGCTTCGGCATCTTCTAAAGTTTTCAACTCGTCTTGTAATAAAAGCTCCTTGTCGATTACCTCTTCACCCTTTAAAGTGAGGATTTGTTGTTGTTCCAACTCGCTTCTTTTCTTTTTTACTCGGTCCGTGAGGATTAATATCGTAACGTAACAAAAGAGGAACAAAATAGTAATTGACGGGGCCGGTCGGGTTTAAGTCGTGTAATTAAAGATCCTGTCCACCGACCTTCGTCAGAAATTGTTTTTGTAAGGCCAAAAGAGGGAATACGTTACGTGGTCTTTGTGAATGCCGCCGCAGTCACCGTTGGCGGATGCGCATGCATGCGCCTTTAAACAATGCCACCCACCAACTCACTATGTGACTTTGTGGCTTTCAGGTTATTATTTAATCTATCAACTGTCGACACGAAATCTTTCGCATGCACGAGGCTTAATTAGTGGATCTTTGGATGAGATCGGATCCGGCAAACTAAGCTTTCTTTTCCCTCATGGTTTTCACACTAAAACCTCAAATCTGTTAACTGCCTTCCATGTGGCCTAAAAAGAAAGCATTTCTATCAACACATATATATAAATACTCTTATTAGAGGATCAATGATAAGACTCCCCTTCTCCCTTCCCTCTCAGGCTAGGCTAGGCCCTAAGAGAACCCAGATTGACTGCACTCTTTACGAGGTTTGATTGACCACAACCACGTACCATGATTACGTCATGCTGAGGACCACATCAGATTCTCCTCATGAGCCATTTTTAACGTGGTTTCAATTTAAAATTTTGAAGGGTTTTCACTTTTTCTCACCATACATGTATGCTTCAGAAAAATGGACAATATTCTTCCTCAATTGGTCCCTCAGTAACAATGTTGTTTACTGCTTTCTCTAAAACTTATGCGTTTCCTAAAGCTAAAGGAGGATGGATGAAGAAAAGAAACCAGAGATTAAAAAGAAAGATCAGTGACGAATTTAATGGCTTTTCCTCAACTTTAGGCTCATCTTTAAAGAGAAAATAAAAGCAAATTCAAGATCGAGTGTGGCGGTACCGTCAAGCTGAAGCTCGATCCTTCATCTTTCTCTTTTTGGCTTATAGTTACTTTGATGAAAATCTGGGAATCATTTTGAACCAAAGTATGCTGATTTCAACTGATCATATTTGATATGATCTTTTAGATGGAAAATTAAAGGGTGAAAAACATAAGAAAAGTAAGTGTTGCACATTCACACTTTGGAATTGTATTTCGCATGAGACGAGCAAGAAATAATACAAAATGCTTGTGTTTCACATTCCTCCCCTGGTTTAGATTTGGCAAACTGGGAAATAGACAATGACCCTTGCATACTCTTTGTTCAAAGTGTTTTCCCACGAAACAAGCAACTAACATCATCTTCCGTCCATGTTTAATTAAACCTGTGAATTCACATTGAGGCTTCCTTTTTTGTCACCATCAGGCAGCAATGACAACTTACAGGCAAAATTCTTAAAGGTCCACTATCATGCACTATTATTCTATGCACAACATGATAGCCATTAGCCTACTTGATTAAAAAATAAGACTTATATTCAATCAAATATAAGAAAAAAAAACACGTATCTATATTTCATTGACAAATAAGTTGTAATTTAAGATTAATTTCAACACCCGAGCATCATGAAATTAGCTACTTAATGAAATAATAAATGATTGGTTATTGGGCCTTCGGTTATGATTGGGAGATGATTGTTGTCCTGAAACAAAAGAGAAAAAAAGGGGGGGGGGGTTAGATGCTAAAGGAAAATTAATGATGAATTTTTCTGTGTAGACCATGGTGAAGTGAGTTGTAGGCTGAAGCGCGGGGCACTTGTTCACCTTTCAGATTGTACTTTTGGGGCCTGGAGGTTAAGTGTGATGGTGAAGCTAGTTACAAAGAATCTCATGACTCATGTTGCAGATATCAAGTCTTGTATTTCTTTATGTGAATCCAACAACAAAAGCTCCCTGCCTGCCTGCACCCTGCAGGTATGAAGAATTTTGATTTAAGCTCCGTATCTTGGGAAAAGTATCATCACTTATTTTGTGAGGTTGGGGAATACATAGCAAATCAATACGATTATTTCACAGATAAACTGAACTCTGTTTATTCCGGTAATTAGTAGAAGCAGAGCAAAGCAAGAGCAAATCTGCAGTGGGAGGTGGGGACAGCAGAATTTATTCTTTGCTTGTAGTAGAATTAGTAATAGGCCCCGCAAGTGGAGTGCTCTTTCGGTATGCCCTTCCCTTCCCTTCCCTTCACACAAACCAAAAAATATATTATTCTGTTCTAATCAAAACATAATGTGACGCCCACTGCCGTTATTTCTGACGTATTAGAACATTGACGTATTTCTAGTCAAGGGTAAGCGGACCCCCCTTGTCCCTCCCATTTCTACACCATTGTGGGGCCTTCAAATATCATGTTTCACCACTTGGACTCTCCAGGGATTTCATTTCTTGGAATTTATATACAACAATCTTCTGAAATAATAATTCAATCATCAATATTCCCTTCAAATTTGATAATCCCTATTCCCTACTACTATACATAGCAAAATACTCCAAAAAAAAATAGATAGCAAAATACCCTACACTATATAGTTGTGGTGCCTTTTTCTTCCTTTTTATTCACACCCTCCCTCCTCACAAGCCATTCATTCCATTTGTGCTCTATTTATAACAGAGACTCATTTGTTTTCTTTCGCATATTCGGTATTCAGCTGTTTTTATTCAATGGACCTTACTTCTCTGCGAGTTTGCATGGATTCATCCTACTGGCTTCAGGTATGCGCACCTATTAAGCTTTGTTTTCTTGGTTATACTGAAACAATGAGCATTACTCCATGCTTACGAAGTTAATTAATTAAATTAATGTATTAGGGGACGGAGTCTGATATAGATTGTTCATCACTATCGGGGGATATACTGACATGCTCGAGGCCGTTGGTTGGAAGGAGGCTAAGAACCCCTCATGAGGAAGCTGTCAAGTGCCCTAGGTGTGAGTCCACGCACACCAAATTTTGCTACTACAACAATTACAGCCTTTCCCAGCCCAGGTACTTCTGCAAGACCTGTAGGAGGTACTGGACCAAGGGAGGCACGCTCAGGAACATTCCTGTTGGTGGAGGCTGTAGAAAGAAGAAGAAAGTTTCGTCCAAAAAGTCCACTCCATCCATCAACATTGCTGAATCATCCACTTCTCTTCTTCAGCTCGCTAATTTCCCTGAAATGCACGCCAACTTCATGGGGGGAAACACCTACAATTCCCTGCTGGAATATCCAATGCCCATTGATATCACGGACAGTAAGTTGGAAGCCATTGCCAGGAACAATGATTTTATGGGGAATGGTACTGAGTTTGAGGGAGATATGGGTCATGGGCTCTGCTCTCCATATGTGATGTCCATTGATGCTACATTCATGGACAGGATGATGCTTCCTAGGCCTTATAATGATACAAATGAAGATGTGAAACCCAACAACAAACTGCTGTCCGATGCCGGATACATCAACAGCTTGGGATCATGGAGTGGAGTGATGCATATTCATTAGTCTCATCTCTGCAATCAACTGCTACCTACATCAAATCCCGGAGGCAGCTCAAAATGACAGTGAATTATATATATAGCATCAAGCTCCTAGTAACAATGCATTTAATTATTCAGTAGGTTTCTGCTGTTATTTCGAGCAAGATATAGATTGGCTTTTCCCTTGTTTGTGTGATAATGAAGAATGAAGGAATCGGATCCCACATGCATAATTTGATCATTTTGGTTTGTCTCACGTTTACTTTCTTTTATAACATCAGTGACGTAGTCTTCAACTCTATCTTACAACATTGCAATGTCCATCCATTCTCACAACTTTTTGTGTATTTCAAACCTAAATTTATTATAATTGCTAAATATAAATAATACCTTAAATTGCAACAACTTTTAAATGATATAATGATAGATTTAATTTCCAATGTTTATAGTTTTTTATGACCACTCTTTTTAATTATATTTGACCTTCAATTTTTTAAAAAAGTTAAATTAAGTAATTTATTTTTAAAAATAAAAAATTAATACCCTCTTTCTTTTTTTGGATAATTATTTTTTATTACCCAAGGAAGCAAAAACTGCTACATAAAACACCGATCTCAAGAATCAAATGTACATCCTAAAAAACATAAGAAGATCGGTTTAAGTAATGTCCCAAGTGTTACAAAGGATAATATTAATACTATCATATCTATTAATAGTTTCCCCCCTCAATTTAAAACCTACGTAATCTTTGATACAATTAAAGAGTTCTTCGGTTGTTCTTGATCTTGCTTGAAAATTTCTTCGATTGCGCTCTTCCCACAAAACATAGATTTTTGCAGTCCAAGCAAGTTTAAGAATAGTTGTGAGGAGGGACCTTCCTTTCCAATTGTTGCTAGCCCAGTCAATCATGTCAACCCAAGAAGTAAAATATTTCATGATTCTATTTTTGTATAAGATTTTCTCCCGTAAATGAGTGGCAGTGGGGCAATCAAAGAGAAGGTGGGAGTGTGTTTCAAGTGCTGCACTGCATAGAACACAGGTTCCAGGAGTTGAAATTCCCATTCTTTGTAGTCGGTCCCTAGTTGGGAGACGTTCGAGTAAAGCCATCCATGCTATCAAACTGAGGTTAGGGATATGAAGAGGAAACCAAATCAAGGAATGCCAACAAACTTTGTCCCCATAAGTCCTAATTTCCTACCATATTTCCCTTATTGTGATAGTCCTATTCGATATAGCAGGTAAAGCTACAGCTCGTAGCTTGAGAAGTTTGATGAAACTCCAGCTGAAAATGGAGCGTTTTTTGATCTGCCAGAAATTATTTTCCTTTAGGACATATTTCTTGATCCATGTCATCCATAACGATCCTTATCCTGCAAGGATATTCTTGATGAGCTATATCATGCATGCTTGATTCCATGTTTTTAAATTCTTGTTAAATTCTTCAGTCCCAGACCTCCCTCAGATTTCAATGTGCAGATTTTTGCCCAGTTGATTCTCTCTCCTTTAGCAGCTGAATCAGATCATTTCCAGAAGAAGCGGGAGCATAGCTGTTCGATCTTGTTGATAATAGCCTGGGGTAAGAGGAGTTGTCTGCACCAGTATTTTGAAATGCTGAATAGGACAGATTTTATGAGCTCTAGTCTGCCAGCAAAACTCAATAATTTTCCAGACCACAGGTTTATCCTTGACTTAATGCTTTCTATAAGGCTATCACAATCTTTCACTGTAAGCTTTCTTATAATAAGTGGAATTTCGAGGTATCTAATAGGAAAATATCCAAGATTGAAACCTGAAAAGTGCTTGATAATCTCCACATTTCTATTAGAAACTCCAACAGTGAAAAATACACATTTCGCTGTATTAAGGTTCAAACCAGAAATTTCATAGAATTTGTCAAGGACTGAAATAACACCTGCAATTGACTCCACATTACCTTTACAAAATATCAGTAGATCATCAGCTAAGGATAAGTGTAACACCCCCAACCCGTATCCGACCAGGATACGAGTCCGAAGTGTCACATTGACTTTTCAAAAATTTATTCGTATAAAATAGTGAGTACTTTAAAAACTTTTATAACATTTAAATTATTCAAAACATTTACAAAATTATTCAGAGCTTATACAATATATTCTTTTGATTACATGCCAACTAGAACTTTATATACAAAAATACATATTATTCACCTCTCTTATGATCTGACATTCGGTAAGGAGAACTGACCTGTCTTGTTCCTCTTTACTTTTCTTTTCGCTTTCCAAACCTACGTGTGAAACAATCACACGCTAAGTCGATGACTTAGTGAGGCATATAAAACATATAATATTTCATATAACATAAAGCATACATAAACATATACCATCATTATCATAATCTCTATCATTATCATTAAGAAACACACATAACATCATATGGTTCATGTAACACATTTCAAACCACTTACCTTTGATAACCATTTATAAACCCATCGTATACATATCACATTCAGTATGCTTGTTTAATCACTTTATTAGCCCATGTACACTAGTGAGAACTTAAGGTATGTGAGTACATTGAGGTTGTGCACACATATGCTGTCACCACAGCTCGATCAATGTCCCGAAGGACCAGTCCATAAATTCCAAAGAACCTAGGTAATCAATCCATATATCCCGAAGAATATAGGTAAACAGTCCATATGTCCCAAAGAACATAGGTAAACAGTCCATATATCCCGAAGAACATAGGTAAACAGTCCATATGTCCCGAAGAACATAGGTAAACCCTCGACCCTTGGCATGCCAACTATACCCTAGCTCTCATATCACATAACATGGGCATTATCATTTAACAGTTCACATTACTTGTCATTTCTCTTCTGTCATATACCACATGTATGTGTAACCATGTATTCCATATCATATCACATGTATCACATATTGCCTATTCATATGTCATTTCATATAACATATATCATATGTGCATGTAATCACATAGATCGTATCATATAGCTTCATTCATATCACATATTCATATAAGCTCATAGCTTCTTTCACATATACATGTAATCACTTAGTCTATTTTCATGTAATTCTTTTCACTTCTCATATGATTTTATATTCATATCTCACATAGCTCATATCACCTTGCATTGTTTCATATAAACATAAATGTCATATCTTGTTCCCATATATTTTCCATATAACTCATATATCTCATAGTTCTTTCACATAGCTCACTATCATATTTTCATATCATATATCTTATAATAGATTCTTATATCATCATTTGTTTCCTTTCTACCTATTCATAATCACATTAACATGTAATGAAAGCAATATGTATTAATACATACATGTAATCATATAACTTATACCACATGATTCATGTAGTCATTTAGATCATTGTCTTTTAACACATATCCCATAATCACACAAATCATCACATAGATTACCAATCAAATCACATTTTAGGAGTTACTTCTTACCATAGTAACTCCATCACTAGCTCATCACAAGCCAATGTTTATTCAATAATATAAGTACAAATTAAATTACACTCACCTTAGCCTTGCTTTGATTCGATTATAATCCTTTGATTATTCCGGAACTTGTTTAGGCTCAATATCTACATAAATATATCATTTCAAAACAACTATCAGAAGCCTAAACTTTAAACTTGATGTTAATAACTTAAACCGGTTTAATGAATCAAATTCTATATTTTCATTTAGGGGGAATCGATACCCCCCAGGGGAATCGATACCCCCTGAACATATTGGAATTTTTTGTTCAAGAGGGGGAATCAATTCCCATTCATAGGGTATCGGTTCCCTCTACCCAGAAATTGTATTTTAAGCTCGAAAATTATCAATTTTTCCTTCAATTCTTCTATTTTAAACCCCTACCATGTCATTAAACTCAACTAGCATTACTTAAACTAACTTATATCCATGAAAATCCTCTATGACTTCAAAATCCTATCCTTCATATGTAATTCAAGAATCATACTAAAATTTCAATATGTTCTAAATACAATTCTAACACTTCTATCTTCTTATTCTCATATATGACAAGTCAAATTCAACTTAAAATTCAACTTATCAACTCTATTCCATGATTTCATATAAAAATTCATTTTCTTTAATCTATCATAACTCTTTTATCTTTTGCTTTTAAGATAACTTAAGCTTTCCTTAAGCTTAATTATCATCTAGTGATCATAACCCAACTTTTAAAACAACAAATAATTAACAAAATAGCAAACTCACCTTTGATGTCTCTCTCTCTCTCGTGTGGAAGAACAAAGGAGATGAAGTGGAGAAAATATCTCCTCATCCTTATCCCACATGCCTATATATCATTTAATTATAATTTCCAAGTCAAATGACCATTTTGCCCTTTAATTCTTTGGATAATTACTATAAACTTTTAGGAAATATTTCCGAACAAATCATTAAACTATTCAACTATTCTACTTTAATCACCATATTCTGAAATTTTACAATTTTGGTCACTAACCCGTATTTTGGGATGTTACAAATCTCTCCCCCTTAAGAAAATTCATCCTCGAATTTTCATTGTACAAATAGATGGGTAATTGTATACCCTTATCTTATTTGCACTCATTTACACACTACTTTATTATCCAACTTATTTCTTTTCATCAAAACATAAACCTTCATCAAACTATCCATATATATATTCTTTCAGTCAAAAAAATTCATTAGCTATTTCCTTCACTTATCAAACCTTCATTCTCACTCATCCCTAATACAAATTCTTTGGTTCGAATTCAACCATTCCATTACCTTTGTCTTATAACTGATCACTAATATTCATATTCATATTCTTAAACCCTTCCTTGGTCTTTTAATATTCTCCAATTAACATTCATCTCTTTCACTTTATTTTGTCCATGTTGTAAAGAAACTATTCTATTTCAGAACGATAAAGTTCCTTTAATACTATAATTTCCAATCCGTCTGAACGGATTGGCTCTATTCTCTAGCGGGGAATACAACTAATTCATATATGGTTTAAAGGTGAAAACCAATATCTCTATCTTTCTTTGATGATGCTTAACTTTATGAAGCACTAATTTCCTTAATCATCTGAGATTTTTATTCTCTAATCCTTTCATTCTGAGCTCTTTCTAGAGCTTTAACATGATTTACCATTTCTTGAAATAAGAACAAATTTAAAACAATAA